AACAAGTAATCAAAGAAGGAGCTCTCAGTAACTACATAACCTGACGAGCGAATATCACATTAATTTCAGATTTGATTCCTAATTTCTTAACTATCTTAAAAGGTAATGGGTTAAATTTAACGCAAAATGTAAAATTTAGCTGTCACGAAGGTCTGGCTTGATTCCTTTGATTACAGCAAAGCATACTAAGGCTATCTTTCTGAGGGGACAGATGGGCTTTCTAAGGAAAACGAGCTAGTATACACGTTACACATGGAAAAATTCACAAGCTCGAAAAGGCTTTTTTGACGTTCTGTATGTCCCGTTGTAGAGACATTAGGTAACTTTGAGGCCAGAGAGATTAAAAATTAGCAACCGCCCTCGCCGGGAATCGAACCACGGACCTCTGGAGTACCGGCCCAGCATGCAGAACCACTATACCACCAAGGCACGTTAAGAAAGTGGGAGATAATATAATATGATATTTAATATTATCTTCCACTTTCCTAACACATGATATTTAATAAACCTTATAACCTTTATTTATTAAATATCATGTTCTTCGCACTTCTAAAAATGCATAAAATTAGCATGAAGTTCTGTTCAACAATAAAATCACAAACTATTTAAAAAGAGCATATCTTTAGAATTTCCGATACACAGTCTCGCGTGCTGGAGATAATTTTTTTTTTTTTTTTTTTCGTACAGTGTTACCATTGCTCGCTTTGAAATAGTTGATTTTGTTAGTCAAAATTTCGCTAAAGTTTTACAAAATATGACATCGATAATAAAACAAATACGAAATTTGGGCTTACAGATGCCCATATTCGGGTGAAGAATTTTGTTATTCAAACTTTGATGGATCTAGGTACCGTTGTTGGTAAAAGTATAGCTTAAGGTACCCCTTGGCGAAACTTGGCGATTTTTGGCGGTACGTGGATACCGATTTTGTGCAAATCTTTGACTCGTTATTTTGGCTATGACGGCAATTTTTGCTCCAAAAATCGCCGCTACACAAAGAAATAACAAGACAAACAATTGCACAAACTCTGTATCCATGTACACATCGACTTATTTTCACTTAAAAAAAATCCCCGAATTGCACAAAAATGGCAATGCGCACTCCTTTGACTTTATCCATCTACACGTCAACCTATTTTCACTTAAATAAAAAATCCTCGAATTGCACAAAAATGGCATTGCGCACTCTTTTAACTTTATCCATGTACAAGTCGACATATTTTCACTTTAAAAAAATTCCCAGAATTGCGCAAACTTGCATTGCGCACTCTCTTTACTTTGTCCATGTACACATCGATATTATTTTCACTTAAAAAGTCAAAGGAGCCCCAAATTCTACAATATAGGCACACAAAAATACATAATCTCAATAAAATAACATAAGAAAGGAAAAACATGTTATACATTTAAGCACTACCAAAAGCAAATATTCACTTACCATGATTTTCGAATTCGCTTCGTACACCCAGAGCCATGTAAAATTCAAAATATAAATCATACTCAAATGACTTTTTTCAAACCAGGTACTCTTTCTGATCGAACGCTTCACATAGTGACCATCTGAACCTTTCTTCCTACAAACCCATTCAAATCCATCTAAACGGTTTTTACAATTCGACTAGACGCATATCCTTCCTACATACAAACACTTATAATGGCTACTAAGTAAACCTACATTTACACAACCCAGTCAATTAAAGCTCTTTCCCTTTTTAAATTGTACAGAAACTTCAAATTAATCTTACTACATTCGGCCATTCTACCGTCTAAAGAATGAAACCAACACACACCACATAAACGCTTACAAAACATCCCATGATTAAAAAATTCCCAGAATCATGCACCCGATTACGTCACAATAGGGTTTCCATAACATTCAACTACTCAGACTACCATAAATGAAACAACAACTTGGCGATAAATCAAACAACAACTTCACCATAATACTCCACCATAATACAAAAGGTACCTTAAAGTCTACTCTACCCCCATTGTTTTATCACAGAGCGAGAAAAATACATACATTTATGCAGATTCTTCATTATTTAATTTCTTTAAATATAATGCATGGCGATAATATTTGATGGCAACAATTTGAAAAGTGATTCAACGCATTTAAGTTTTCAACGCAAAATGCCAAAACGAAATTAATAACATATCTGAACGCCTTTGGGCTAATAAATTGGCAACACGTTTAACTTTACTTGGCCTAGAAGAAAGAAATAGCCATTTAGCAGTTGGATATCCGATTATCTTGAATAACTTCAATTTACTACTATTACTATTCTGTCTGGTACGTACCTTGTGATTCTATACATTATGCCTGCGTATAGAAATACAGATTACAAAATAAACACTTTACTCCCGCGACCTTTCTGTGACACATTGTATTCACTAAAAATCTGAATTTCCTTGATTCTGTGAGAAAATAAAAACATATATTCTGCTGACTTAACAGCGAACTTTACCTAGAATAATTGCAACATATTTTTGTAGCATGTGCTCTCAGATTTGACTTCTGGAGTTTCACAATGATTTTTCTTCGCTTAGTGTCTTTCCTGCGTTTCTTTAACATTAGATTAGGTAAACTATCATATCAATGGAGTTTTAAATTATCATATCTGAGAATTATCTTCCTTATACATAGACCTTATTCAAGGATTTTAGAAGAATGAAGAATGAATTTTAGGGTAATGAAAGTTCGTATTCGAAAGTATAAAAATTCTTTATGCGAAGAAAAAAACACGAAAATCCCTTACACCCAACTCTGTGACACAGTAAACCGAGCTGCCTAGTACGTAATAAACGAAACAAGATAAATTATTCCGCGTACATTATATACTCACATATTTCACTATTGCCGCTGGGATAAAATGCACAGCTTCTAACCTTATAATAACAGCTATTAATTGATAATTTTTCTATTTTCCAAATGTTACATCCAATGTTACATAAGATCAAGCTGAACGCTCAGGCATGTTGTTGGTTCAGATTGAATGTAAATAATGCGTTGCTCTCCTCGGCGAGACGGCGCGTGGCAAAAGAACAGAGAAATTCGAAAGATAAATTGAGCGTAGCATTATTTATCTTAAGATAAATTTAAGGTTATTTATCTTAAGATAAATATTGCTGCCTGATTCTGATAAATCAGTGCTTAATTTATTATAAAGCTTTATATAAATTATTATTATTTAGAACTGATTTATTTGCCTGATACAGATAAATCAGTACGTTAATAATAATAAAGTTCAGATAAATTGAGGTTTAACAACGCAGCCTTCAGCTAGTAGAGTTATTAAGCACTGCCCGAAAAGGAGCCAAATTCTCTATGCGTGGTAGAACCAGCATTTCTTAAAAGACATACGATACATTATATCATTTAAAACTGCCACTAACGGCGAATGATTTTCGCATACTCCTAATTTCTAGTAGCCCCATAAATTACAAAAATTTTGTTTAGGAGTACTGTTTCATGCTAAAGATGTCGTATTCTAACTCAATTCTTTCTCAAAGTTGGTTACAGAAGAAGAAATGTAAGTGATGTTTCCATTCTGTATGAATGTTACGAAGTTTGTTTTTTTAGTTTAGGTAAAATGCTGTCTTTTAAGAGATAGACGTAATGTTGATCTGTTACAGTGAAACAGAGCCATATATTCAGAATTGCAAGGAAAGATCCTGTTAAATAGATATAACGTAATTAAAATTTTTCTCAAGAAAATTATTTAATAAAAAATAGTTGCTTATTGAGTTCTGGATCACCTAATATACCATATTATTAGCGCATGTTTGTAGTTATAAAAAAAGATTCCTGACTCAGATATTTTTCTTTATTTAACAGTTTATTGTATGTTTGTGGTAGATGTTGATTTTGATATTTAATTGCAATTTTTTTTTATTTAGTAATACTTTTTTTCTCTAGAATCTGCTACAGTTTTGTGCTATTATTTGAAACACTTTTACTGCATTATTTTCTTATGCTTTACTAATCGAAAAGCTTGTCTTTGATACAATTACCACCAAAGAGATTAGAATAGCGGGAACGATTCTATTCATATCCAATATTTTAATACCTCGTAAAAACTTAACTTTATTTTTTCAATATTACGTGTTTTGATGTACTGCAGATAATGATTATTCTTTTCATTAATTCTGGATACTACAGTTTTCACAATGATTGGAAATTTTACTAGTTCTGTATTGATCTAGAAGTTTTGATCCCTTTTAATTATCAAGGAAATAGTGTTTCCTGTCAATTGAATCTTATCTCTCAGCATACCGTTCTTAATTTCTTTCTGTTCACAATTCTTGAAGACGTTTGTTGATTTGGAAAAAAGCCATTCCATGCCGAGGTGAAATAGTGATGTATTCTATAATTCGCATGTCATCCTGGTACATGAGTGTCACTATGCAATATTTTGTTTCGTCCAGAAGAATATCAGATTTCTCAGTTTGAAGGTACAAAGTGCTTTCTTTATAAGTAAATCTACTAAAATTTTTGAGTTTTTCTCATCGGTACTCTCTTAACATATTAGCTTTGTTAATATTCAAGTAGCTTATGTGAAAAACCATAAAATTCTCATACAGCTAGCCAGCTTTTTTCCTGAAGGCTCACATCGTAGTCTTGCAAGGTTTTAATTTAATTACTCCAATTTTTTTTAATTATTTTGGTTTTTTAGCCCAAAAGGCGTTAGCCCAGAAGACCTATTAATTTCGTTTTGGCGTTTTGTATTAAAAACTTTAAATGTCCGTTTCATTTTTCAGATCGTTCCCACCAAATATTTTCGCTCTGTGTTTTATTTAAAGAAATAAATAATGAAGAATCTGCATAAATGCAATAAATGATAATAATAAATATAATAATAATAATAAATCTGCATATATAAACAATTTAAGCAATTTATTAAAATCAGGATTTTTGAAGTTGTGATGATTTAATAATTTGACCATTAATATTTATGTGTATTTCTCGGAAGATTTTATTTATTTATTTATTTATTTAGGTTAATGCTGGGCGGTCTGTGCAATGGAACTCTAGTCCCCAGCGCTCTTAAAGCCGTCAGGGAGAGGACGCATCACCAAACTGTCAAAATTATTTTTCCAGAACAATCGACAGATGCTGTCATCTATGTCACAGTAAGTAATGATCTTTAATCAAAACTAATAAAGGAACTCATTAATACCAAGATGTAAAGAAACTTATGTCATTCACGAATACACGTTAAAAGGGGATGTTTGCGTTGCCGTTTGCTTATCTCAGAGATAAAAGGGCACCACAAAGAATTCACGAAAGAGCAGGGGGTTATGTCACAATATAACTGCCATCCAATATGAAATTTCGTTCAGATACGTAAAAGACATTAGAAGTTTAAACCGGTACTGTTCATTCATGTCAAATTTGTTTTGTAAGTATTAAACAATCAACCTAGCTTTACCTGTTTCAGAACTTGTTTCAGTACTTGTTTTGAGAATTTCTTCAACAATCCTGTTGATGTTAAGCAGACTTCCTTTAAATTCTGAATTAGGAGTTGATCCGCAGGACTATATTGAAGATTAGGTTTCTTCTATTTATTAGAAGCTTCTACCTGAATATGATAATTATTCCGTAGATGAATCAGTTTATAAGGTATTTCTCCCTCCTTTCCGCAAGCCTTAGTGGTATAACGGTAGCACACTCGACATGTGTTCGAGAGGTCCAGGTTCATGTCCCGGGAGGGCACTGCACAATTTTCTAGTCCTGGCGAGAATATTGTACAATTTCACATCCCTTGTTTCAAATAACCTAATGACTCTACAAGTTTTAGGATGCCTTTCTAAAGGATTCCAGTCGGATGACCGAAGCAATCGTATTTATTTAACGTGACATACTTTGTCATTCTGTTTTCAGTTCTCCTTGTCATCCGAATGAAACCATCATCCTTTTGAAAATATTTCTAATAGCTCGAAGCTGTCACGAAGTCACACTGGAAGAGGTCCAGAGGTCTGTTATTACGATGACTCCATTATACTAGCAACTTAAATCGACGCAAGTTATTATCAGATCTATTAACGCACATTGCAGCAAGAAAAGTTTTGGAGAAATGCATTTCTCTTAGTAGTGGTTTGAATCGGAGATTTTAAGACGCAGCAGTTACGTTATGTTTTGCGTACATAGTTACAGTGTTTTACTATGCTGGGGAGGAATTGGGCTAGCACCTGAATTTTTAATAGAAAAGGAAGGAGAAAAAAGAACCAATTAGAATGAGAGGAAGATATAGCATACTTCTGTGTAGCAAATTTCTGGGAGTGTTTCTTTGTATTCCTAAAACGAGCTTACTTCTTGAAAACATTTCTTATTTCATCTCGCATCTCGATAGTTCTGATTAAGGTTTAAAGAAATGCGATCTCGTTATTTTACGTGATATATTAACTAAACCTCAAATTACAGAACCTTAGTTGCTTATGATCATCTCAAATGAATGAATATATTGTGTTATATAGTGTACCAGAAAATTCAAATGTATGTCCAAAAACGTATAGTCGTATCAAATCGTTTGCCTTGGTAACAATGCATTTCTATGTATGCTTCTTGAACCAGCTAAGAATTAAGGATTTTTTTTTTCATTCCCGCTTCTAGAAAATATTCTGCTACTTCTTTCCGTTATGCTCTTGTGGGTCTAAAAAAACACGGTGTTGACTGATATAGATTTTATTTTAGTTGGAGAGTTTTCAGCGATTCAAACACCATCACCATCTGAAGCTGCAACTAAATGAAGAGCAATTACCTTAAAAAGAAAAATAGACTTACGAAGTTTCAAGAGCATACGTACTACATACTGTTCGCGGTCCTTCTAAAAGAGAGGGGGTGAAGAAAACGAAAAGAAGCAAAGTTAGTGGTGCCATCTAAGAATGGAAATTTTCTTTTAAAAGAGATTTAAGAAAAAAAGGAAAAGAAGCAGAGCTAGTGGTGCCATCTGTGAATGCAAATAATAATCAGAAATAATCAATATAGAAACGAGTGTGACAAATGAGTTAGAATTTGAGCCATTGATCACTATGAAGATATTATTATAGATATGGAAGGCCACCATAAGAATCTCCCTAGAAATCTTTGAGATACATCTATCTGCAAATACAAGGTAAGGAGTTCATTCAGTGCTTATTATTCCTCTCCAAACCATCATATCTATATAATCGTAATGATTATATCCCAATATTGGTGAGAATATTTCATTTTCTTGCTTCTTTCGGATAATCCATTTAGAATCAGGCAAACCAAGCTTGAAATTCTTCACGAAAAATAAAAATATAGATCCATTATCGTAAACTCCAGCTATCAGATTTTGTAAACCACTTCGATTAGCCTCTCCCCCCCCTTTTTTTTAAGCGATGTCAGTGAACAAAATTATTCTCTCTCTGTCATAAAGGCTTACCTAATGAAAACATCGTGTCGGATTCTATAAAAAAATATCCGCTGTTAAATTTTAAAATCCTTCAGAATTATGGCCAGTTTCCTATAAACTATGTCAGAGATCTATAGAAATTTATAAAACTGTACAGTAAGACCCCGCTTAACGCTGGGGATACGTTCCATCAAAGTAGAGCGTAATGCGAAACAGCGCTAAACGAGGATATCTTAACATGGAAATAATGGAGTTAGGGGAAGATGGATAGATAATTGGTTAGGTATTAAATTTAATAATTTTTTTAATAAAAATAAAACCAAACACTTTATTTCTTACAAAAATAAAAAACCAATATAAATGAATATACTTATAAAAACAAATAAAACATGTTAAAATAGCCAAGTCAATCAGATCATTCAGTTTATTCTGTGTTTCCAATTTTCTGTCCTTTTTGTCAAGAAGGCATCTAATGTAGTTTGCGTTTTCTTTTTGCATTCTGTTAGAAGTTGTTGATAAGTGGATAAAGCATCTGGTAACACCTCGTCTTGCTTTTGAACTCCTGTCAAAATTTGGATCAGTTTTAACAAATTGGTCCATAATTTCAGTTATAGTGGTCAAACTTTTTTTAGAAACCCATCGAAAGTTTTACACAAACACCATCGAAAATTCTTTTTGCTCTTCTTCAAAATCACTATTATCAATATTTTTGTTTTCTTCTTGCGCAGTTAATTCCTTCAGCTCATCATTAGAAAGACTAGCTGCTTGAAACTATTTCTTCGACTGCTGTTTCTTGAACTATTTCTTCGACGTCTTCCACATTTACCTCATCTAAACCGGTTTGTTTCGCTAATTCCACTATTTCATCCATATCGACAGAGTGTCCAATGTCTTCGCTCTTACTTAAATCTGGCCAAATGTTCTTCCATACTCCTTTCAAAGATCTTTCTGTTATCTCATTCCAAGAAAGGTTTACTTTTTCTACAGCATTTATGATATTGTAATTTTTCCAAAATTCTCTTATTGACTTGCTTCTCTTCTCTGTCTTGTTTTTTCAAACATCTGCTTTAAATGTTCACGCCGCAAGAATAAACGCCTTAAAATTGGATACAACGTCTTGGTCCATTGGTTGGATTAAGGCAGTTGTGTTAGGCGGCAAGAAAATCCACTTCAACTGGAATGCATGTTGTTAAGTCTGATAAATTTGTTGGGTGGCTTGGAGCCATTATCAATTAATAGTAGTGCTTTCTATTGTTCAAGTTTTTTAATTTCGTCAATTTAATGTTTAACAGACTGTGCAGAAATGTTCAGTGAACCCAATCCTGGAAAATTTTCATAGTTATCCATGATTTTTTTTAGACTCCCAAATTACAAGTAAAGTTGATTTAGATATGCCCTTCATCGCTCTTGGGGTTTTTGGAGTGGTAAACTAGTAGTGGTTTTAATTTGAAATCTTGGCTTGCGTTAACACCCAGTAGAAGGGTTAAGCGATCTTTTGCAGCTTTAAATCCAGGTGCTCGTTTCTCTTCACGGGATAGAAATGTTCGTTTTAGCATTCTTTTCCAAAACAGGCCTGTTTCATCAACATTAAAAACCAATTCTGGAGGATTGTTTCCTTGTTCAATTATTGTTTTTAATGTCGCTGGGAATTCAGCCGCCGCTTTCGTATCACCATTTGCTGCTTTTCCTGTAATCTTTATATTGTGTAGATTATTTCGACGTTTAAATTTATTAAACCCTCCTCGACTAGCAACGAAAGTTTCACTTATGTCACTGGCCTCAGCCTGAATGTAATTAAAAATTCCTCTAGCTTTTTTTATTAAGATAGATTGGCTTAATGGCATATTGCGTTCAATTTCGTCCTCAATCCATATAGACAGTCGTTTTTCCATTTCCTCTATAATGTTATTTCTAGAACCGGTAATTCTAGTGCAGAGCTTGACGTAATTGCAGTTACCGATGACAGTATTTTTTCTTTATTCTTAAGAATCGTCCTTATTGTTGAAATTGCCAAATTCAATGCAGCACTAATTTGAGATTGACGTTCACCAGAATCTAATCTTCTAATCACTTGCATTTAAGTTTCCAGTGAAATGTTTTTTCTTGTTGCTTTCTTTTCTTGTTTTTTATTATCACCCATGATAAAAACTAAAGATCATAATATTTGTCACTGTATTGATCGTTATAATATTATATAAATTTATACTTACAATAATGTCAACAAATGTTTCAAATGATTAAAATGCGTCCGTACAGCACCGCACCAAACAAGAAACACAACTACACTATTTCGGATTAGCGCAGCGCATAATTTCGGGGAATCCCCGGGTTGAAATAAAAGAGCGCTAAACCGAAACAGCGCTAAACGAAACAGCGTTAAGCGGGGTCTTACTGTACTTGTAGCTTCTAAGGAGTTATATAGAGAGATTTTTATAGAAATATGTGTGGATATTCTACACAGATTTGTCAGAGATTCTATAAATCTTTCCAAAGTTTCTAACGGTCTCTTGTACAGAATGTGACATAATTTGTATAGAATTTATAGAATTCAAATGAAAATATCAGATCCAGTTTATAGAAAATTAGGCCATAATGCCATAATGAAGTAAACAAGTTTCTTTCTTTAATTTTCAATGAAAGGACTTATAGAATCTTTTGGAGGGTTTTTTTTTTTTTTTTTTTTTTTTTTTTTTTTTTACATTTTTAAACCGAAAACATTTTTAAACCGATAAAATTTTCCTTTGCTATTTAAAAGAATCTACTTTAATTAAAATTAATTAAAAAGTTAATTTTAAAAATTTAATTTTTTATTTTTCAATAGAATTTTCTAGTCTAAATTTTGAAGCGATCTATGACATGGAAAGTGGAAGTAGGGTTTGAAAACTTTCGAAGCAGCTCCGACTTTTTTCCCGAATAAAAATTCCAATAACATTTTGATTAAAAAATATTTGTATAAAAATAAATGCACTTTAAATAATACATAAGAAAAGACTATTTTCTTATCTTTATCTTACATATGCAATAATTAAAATAATTCATTAAAAAAAATTAAGAAACGTTTTCTCTTATCTGTATCTTACATACGCAATTATGAAAAGTATTCATTTCAGAAATTAAAAAGAAGCATTCATTTCAAGAATTAAAATTTTATAATTAGAGGCATAATGTTAATCTTTTAACTAATTTTATTATTAAAATTTATTTCACGCTTTTACAAGATTTCATTTTTTTATAAGCAATTATCATACAAAACATTGCACAAAATATTATCAACTCTTATGAGTAAAGAGTGTTTATTTTTTTCGTATACATGTTATATCAACATCAGGAAATAATAATTACGAATAACTTCAACTGCAGTTTTACTTTGCAAATTTTTATAGAATACTGTTCTATACAAGCGTGATAAAGGTTTTTAAAATAAATAAAAAAATTAAAATAAAAAAGTGATAAAAGTGATTTTGTAGAGCAACGTTTTGATAGAATTTTATTCTGTAAAAGCTTTATAAGATTTCTACGTAATTTTGTAGAGCAAGATTTTTATAGAATTTCTGTAAAAGCTTATAAAATTTCTACATAATTTTTAGAGAAATCCGTCTACTTAGGATTACATGTAAAATTCTATAGGAATTTCTGTAGATCTCTATAGATTTAAAAAAATTGTAAGGGTTTTCGCATTTAATCTTTTTTTAATACGATTTGCTCTGTTATGAAAATTAGTAGTAGGTCACTTTCTATACCAGCATTCAAACTGACCTTACGATGGGTAGCTATGGACAGAACATAAGGAGAGTCTTTTCTAATACTAATTTGTCCAAGTCCATTAGAATAAGTTTCAGTTTGTTGAATTGGTTTCCAAAAGGCATATATTCTCTATCTGTAAAACATTCAGCAAGTTTACCAAATCTATATTTGACGATTCTGCTTCTGTTAGGTCAACAGCTTCTCATCTCAGAGATTTTTTTTAAATGAAACTTAAAAATACAGATCCTACTATGATATTATACCTATTATGATATCCTATATGCTATTATGATATTATGCCTTTATTTGAATTTCAGAAATTTATTCATCAAATTTAAATCGATAATGGCAATTATGTTTTTCTTTTTCTCATTCCATGGAAAAAGAATGGTGAAGTGAAAACTTTAGATTACAATCTAATACCTCGAAGTTCCAAATAAAAAATTAAGAAAAATAGTTTTAAAAAATTAATTAAAAACATAAAATCTTTAGTTTAAAAAGAAATTGTTAATCTGATCTTGGTATGCAGATTTCAGTTAACCACTGAAACCATTTTAATCTAAGCAACTTGCAATTTTTAAAAATTAGTTTCCCAGAAAGTAAAGGTTTCGAGAACCTAAAATTTTATATTTAAAATGAGCTGCTCAAACTGGTTAAGATAAAGAAAAATGGTAGAAAAAATTCCCCATGATATTATTTCGCTATAAATTAATACCAAACGGCAGCTTGTAACCTCTTTGATTACGTTTATTGTAGATTTAGTCATTCAAGAAGAAACTATTTATTCAACTTGACTGAAATGAGATTGCGCACAAGAATTGCAATAATTATTTTCCTCAATCGCAATACTTTTTGTTTTGCCAGCATAAAATATCCGCTTTTGAAAACATTATAAACATCTCTTAGAAGTTTTTAATAAATCTGAATGGTTGGTTACTTGATGGAATGCGATTAGTTTTATATATGTAATGAAAACTCTGGTCACTAATGTAATTCATCCCAGTATTATTTTCATTGAGAACTTAAGTTTATTCAGCCACTCGTTTATTTTGTTCCCTTCTAAACTACAGTATTTTTTAAAAAAATCCCTTAAAACAAAATTTTATTATGGATATTGTCAACTGAGAATACCATTCTAAAAATTTGTAGACATATTTTCATAATCATGTAGTTAAAATATCTAGTTGTGTTGAAAAACTATGTAGGATTTATTTTCTTCTGCAATAAAAAAGAGAAGAATATCCCAATCGCAATACATTTCAAACACCTGTTAAAAAGTTTTTAAACTTTTTTTATTTTAAATTGCTATTTTAACCTTATTTCATATTTGCATCTATTTTATCCAGTGCTATTTCCTAGCAAGAATAGAGTTTTGGAAATGTTGGCCCAATGCTGATGCGACAAGAACAACTTCTCTCTCCTAAATTTCCCATTACATTTAATTTTTAATCTAAATTCTTTATTTCGGAAAGTGCGAAAAATACTTTCAGTGACTTGAAATATATGATAGAAAAGCAATTTTCTAGCAGACATAACAGTTTGATTTTGGATCATTTAATATTATACCTAAAAGTTTGCTGCTGTGTCACGTCACTGACTCATAATCTGCTCCAAAAAAAAAATAATTTCTTTGTATCTTCGTTTTTTACCTGTTCTGTTTGTAAGTGACGTCAGCATGGGGAGCACTTCCCCTTGGTTGTCTAATGATCTTATTTACGAGAATTTCGTTCATTTTTGTTATCACTGGTAATGACTTTTATCTCTCAAAGCGTAGCTATCTGGAATTTACCAAGAGTTTTATTAATTTTAGGAGTTTCGCAATGAATTTAAGATGAAAAACGACTGTATTTGATACTTAATCAAACTTACTGTTTGTCTGCTGGTTCAAAACAATGACTCTCTGTAAAACAGTAAGATAAGATCTGACATCGAGCAATAACTGTGCTATGAATCCAAAATTTAATTCTCAATTTCAATTCCTAAAACTTTTATTAGAGGATAGTAACAATTAAATGTTGATCAATATCTTGCTTTAAATTACAAGAATAATGCATTTTACTGAGAATGGAACAGAACAGCTATTTATTTTTCAACAAAAATAAATAGCAGTTTTGTATTTAATATTTTATAGTATAATACGTTATAAAATAGCACACATAACAGGTAAATTTCTACTTGATGTTAAAATCTCAAATATTTTTTTTTTCGTTCCCAGGTGGTGGTCGTTTTCTATGCAGCCATCATTCTTATTCTCGTGGGAACAAACATCCATCGCTTTCGCAAGACTGCAGTAAATTCAACAAGTGGAGGGCAAAATGAAGTTCCAAAGCATCAGGCTATTGTAAGGTTGGACCATAAGGAGAGAGCTTACCAGACCTCAGCCACTCCAGAGGAAATAAAAGCTGATGTGGAAAATCAAGAGACGGACGGGGCTCTTGTATGACAACGGAAAGTGCATTTCACAAAATAGTGCGCTCGAGATTCATTAATGTTATTGCCTGTTAGTGGTGGTGAACCGAAGAGTAAATCTACGAAACTGTATAGATAGAATCTTTTATGTCAAAGTGTGTATTTTGTATTTATGTCTCAAATGTTGGTTTCAAGGTTTACAAAGTAGTCGTTTCAAATCTCTTCTGTTTTAGTTCGTTATTTTGAAATAACTATTGAATGGGAAATGGTATCATTTGTTTACAAGAATATGAAGGTGTATGAGGCAAATGAATACCAAATTCATTAATGACCAGTTCTGGAATAGCTGTAGAACATGAATATATATTTATTTTTTCGCAAAACTACCAAACAAAAGATTATGAAGCGTTCGGATAACATAATCTTATGCATCATACATTTAAAGGACATTTAAAAATATTTTATCGAAAATATAGATATTTCTCTATAATATTGGTATACAAAAGTAAATAAAACAGATGAAATGCGAAAGTATTTGTTATATATAAAAAATTATCTATCTCTACTTTCTATATAATGTTTTAAATAGTAATAAATATTTTCTAACGAAGCAAATTATTATAAAATAAGGAAATAATCTATTGATAGAAATTTTCTTCTTATTGCCAATAAAGCTTTTAAGAATTCGTTTCATAGCCTAACAGAAAGTTTCTTTCGTTAAAAACTAACATACTAATGTATATCTCTAATTAGTTAAGTTATGGCAATTAATTCAGTAATAATTTATCCCTTTCCACAGTTGCGAAATTTTTGATTTTGTGAAAGTTAAGCTTTCATATTATTTTCTCTTCCATTAATAAAAGTTTTGATTTCTTTTTGGACTATATACTAAATTTGAGTTGTTGCTGAAGTTAAAATATTCTTCCTCAGTATAATTTAGTATTTATTTTAAAATTGCGACTTACTTTATACTTCGTGTTGAAGACACGAATACTAAGCCAGAAAAATGAGGTGATAAATCTTTCATTAATCGAAAATGATTTCATTCATTTATTTATTGCACGTCTACCGTACATAAAAATCTGTCGATTTTAGCAATAATTTTAATACCAGTCTCATCGTTATACAAATGGGCTTACATATCTCTTCTCATAAATTTACCACCGTCTTCTCGTTTCTTCTATCATGCTCAGAACCTAGCATGCCAGTGGCGGGCCGTCACTAGATTTGACGTATCTGAATCCGTCAAATCTAGAGCTCTGACATTTTATGTGTTGACACTCTCAAGTATATTTTTACTTAATTGACACTCTCAAGTATATTTTTACTTAATCTTCAAAAGCATTAAAAGAAACATAATTTTACTTCTTTTGAAACAGCGCGCATTCGACTTTAATCTGATTTTTGCGGTTCCCGCGAAAGGGAGGACCGTGAATGAGATAAATTCCGCAACAGAAGGAAGAGGAAGAAAGACCTTGTTTGTTTACCTTAGCAGTGCATAAGCCACATGATCTCTGAGCTCATCTACATTCTGTGTTCACATCATTAGCTACACATAATTCACGTGATGTCTGAGGTCTTCGGAATGTATCTCATTGCGTTGGCTTGCCACAGGAAAGATTAGCTGGCTTTCACCCCCCTTGTCGATGGGAGACATACCATTAACTACTGGGGGTAGATCACAGAAAATTTTAATTTTCTAACGATTCTCAGGCAGCGAAATTAATTTACTTGTAGCGCTATATTTTAGTTCGTCTTAACGAAAGCTTTCTTATAGTATACGAAAGAATTTAAAGTAAGATATATTTATGCAGTAATTCCAACCTACAAAGAGGAGAAGCGGCACGAAAAGTTATTCCTCATGCAAGATATCATTAAGAACTATGTGAAAGCAACCTTTAAAGCTGTTTTATGTCAACGCGCTGATCAGCTGTCAATGTCTCAACCCTACGGTTTCCATTGCTTGTTTGCCATATTCTTTGGAATAATATATTATTGAAACAGACAAAGATAATGATAATACGCAGAATTACTGCGCCTATTCTTATTTGTACAAGCATGAAATATTATGCCCGTCATTCCAAAGTGGAATATTACACAATTTCAAAATTATTTTAAAAAAACTAAACAACGATCTGTTTTCCCTTTCTTCTTAGAATAAATGTTTTTAACTATTTAGTATGACATCCATCGGATTAAAAACAATTATATTTAATCATTAAGGTATAATCACTTCCTCCTTTTAAACAATTTTTATAAATTTATGAGATCACATTTATCGTTATTGTACTTACTATTCTTCAAATTATGACATTAATCCTTGTGTTTAAAATGCAATAAACCCTGTCGCAACGGTTACCTCTCTAATGTGAACATTTCTGAAACTATTTCCGAGAACGTAAATAAACACTGGTAATGGATTTTACAGTATGAGACAGCCACCAACAGCGATCGTGCGCTGTTGTCTTAGAGAAGATTATAATTTTTCTCTATACCAATTTCTCTTCGGAAAAGACCACGGCACCAAAGAAGTTCTTTCATGGCAAGCCATCGTAGGATTAAATATTCATTGCAAATTAATGCGAATCACAAGTATTCTCACTTCAGCTGCTTTTTAAATTAAGATTTCAGCATGTTACGACGAGTATGATGAGTGACTGCAAAACATGCTAGAAGTTAATTTTATAACATTTATCCCTCCTAAAATACATTCCAAAAAGCAGATTTGGGTTTTTTTTTTCAAGTCTTTAATACAGAGGTTTTCAACCAGGAAAAAATTACCCTCTGGCAGGAAGTTTATAGTTTCAGCGGAGAATGCAGCAGTCTTTTATTTAACTATTAATCATTCAGTTTTAGTTTCATAAATATAAAAAAACCTCGTTTATTCAAATTTTGTTATTTATCAACATTTTCTATACTTTTTGTTTTTTGTTGTTTGTTTGTTTTTGTTGTTTGTTTATAAAAACTCATTAAATGTAATCAAAATCTATATAAATGCATATATATTTTGCGAGATTTGAAAAAAAGAGGGTATGACCTTCTAGCAATTGTTAAAAGGTTGCATGAAGCAAAGTAGGCGAGAACCACTGCTTTAATATTTAATTGAATTTTATTTGCTACAGAAATTCTGTCATGTTTTTACAAATAAAATTGCTCTTTTGCTAAATTTTCTCCTACAGATTCTAATTTTTGGCCGAGCTATATATTTACAGATTATTTTTTTATTATTTATGGACTGCAAAGTAATCACCTCAAATACGCAAAACATTTACGCTATCGTACCTTTATAAGTAATCATTTAACGAATGTTTGTATAGTACAAATTAAAGTAAAGGATTTAAGTATTTTATATTAGGTAAAGCAGAGTTAACGAAACAACGTTTAATTTTAAGGTGATTTGATAATCTTTCTGTAATCCTATTTTGCTTTCAAATCTCTCCAAATATTCTTTTCTTTGTTTTTTAGTTATGAAGGGAGTTACAAGAAATTTTAAACTGCTATCTGTGACTTCATTACATTTTAAAATTGTTACACATTTTAAAATTGTTGTGTTTAATTCAAATTTAATTTGACATCTGTGACATACATTTGAATCTTAAGATTACATTTTTTCCTCTATGAAAAATAAGATTGGAAATTTCGTATGGTTCATATAATTTAATAGAATAATTATACCTTTGTTACAAGAAAACTTCAAACTAAATTAAGTATATTATGATGTTATGGAAAATAGTAATTTAACTTATTTGCCAAAGCAAGTTCATTCCTAGCCCGATAAGTTCCCCTTTCAGAATGAGCTTGCATGATTTGTCCTTTGATTCTACATTTGGATATAATCTAAGGGGTATGTTTTGCATAACTTAGTAACCAAATTATTTGTGACTTTCTAAATAGTGAAAAAGTAAGAATTACGGGTTCCTTGCAATTGCAATCTTAGTAAATCACGATACTTCTCCAATTTCCCCATCTTTAACTTCTAATTACTTTAAAAATATTTTTATAGAGTTATAATCCTAACAATTAGAAAGAATACATCGTGGCACTGTACGGAATTAAAAATAATTCTATGAAACAATTTGAAAACCCATAATGTCAAATAAAATACTGTTGGAATTATAGTAATTCTTACACTAATAAATTAAGTAACTCTCCAGATACTTTGGTAAAACGTTTGATAGCAAAGTTGCCGTTGTACACCAGTAGGATACAGTTAAATATAGCTTTCAGTTAATATGAGCTGTCATTCTGAGATTTGAAATCCTAAAAGTATTGTCCGATTTTACTGTGCATCAACGAATGCGAGCAGACTTCCAAAAGACAAATTTACTTCCAGTGTTATATATAGTATGCAAATTTCTATCATCAAGGTTATGTGTGCACATCCCATGGCTCAGAACCTGTAATGTTTTCTTATGAGGGTTTGCCAAAGATACTGTTTTAGTACCTTCATACGTTACTCAAGTCTACACTACACCAGTCTTTGGATTTTATGATTTATACTGAGTCAATAATTTGGCTTCTCTATTTTATGTCTTGGATTTAAGCGTCAGAACACAGAACTAATTATTAAGCAAACCATAACATGTATTTAATTTCCTGTTTACAATTAATGATATTAGTAGGCTTGTAAATATCACGTAAATTAATTGGCAGCTGAGGTGAGTAATACGTTATGCTCTATAGAATAAATTTTAAAACCTTTTTTTTTCTCTCATTCAAAACAGCTTAAATCCTAACCCCACAAAATGAATTACACATTATAATGTTGAGCATTATCAGACATTACATTCATTAACAAGACAGGATGCTAACCTTACGAAAGTTTGAGGAAATACGAAAGTTATTTAACATTTCTGCTAAAATTGAAACAAGGAATTTAGATCAAAGCTATATTTTAAGAGAAAAGAAAGCCCATAAATTTCCTTAAAGTAAGAGAAAATAATTTCTAAAACTCTTCAAAAGCCACTGTAATCAAAACATTTGCATTTAATCTATTGTTCAATCTTATATAATTATTCTGCTATTATTATCACAAACATATCATATGGGATGTATAAAATTCCTATTTGAATACCACAAGCAGAAGGGAGATTTGTAATCATAAATTATGTTTCATATCAAATTTCGAGGGAAACAAATTATATCTTCCTGGATCTTCTGTATTTAAAACAGTATATAAATAAACGTTTGTTTCTAATAATACGTGTCGTTTTCTTTCTTTATTTTAATCCTTAACTTGACTTTTTTTAATTAGTTGAGAAGCACATTTTAAATAAAACTAACAATGAATGTGAAATGGTACTCCGTGTTAGACTATGCCTTGCGGCATGTGAAAGATTGAAAAGTAATCAAATTAAAGATAATATTATTCGAAACAATTACTAGTCTATACATATGCGAGAAACTTCAGTTTAACGTTCGCTTATATCGGTAATTCATCCTTTTTGTTATTCAAACTTAACCAAGTGCCCAACTAAACGTAACTAATTCTAAGGTCCTGCTACGCAATTAAGTTTTAGATTACCACAGAAGAGAACCATCCGCGTAAAAGAATTCAGAATGAATTTTCTGAATTCAATTAATTTTCTGAATGATTTCCTGTTTTTTATTACTAGCAAAACGGATACATTTTAATTTGATTGCATATATCGTAATGCATTGTCCGTAAAGAGCACAGGTAAATAGTTTAAGACGATTATTAATTTTTCAAATGTGATTAATAGTGACAAAACTAAAACAATAAAATTTCCATTAATGATTTGGGTCGCTTGACGTATATCATGCTGCATAATATGATTACCTTTCTGGTGTTCATCCATGAAATTAACATTTCAAGCAGAAAATTATCTGTTAATGATCTTGTAATAAATGAAAAATGTAAAATTGCTATTGGGAAATATATAGTTTTTAAATATTTCCCTGATAAATATTTTAACCTTATAATTAAGAAGATTTATTGAAGCGGGAATTAACTATAGCTAGCTTATTTTAACTAAAGAAATTTTCTTGCTCGGTCGCTTACATTCAGCTGTTAAATATTCCGCTTTACTAGAACCTTTAATTATTAAGAAGAGATTAAATGTTCGAATTTATTATTAGTCTTTTGAAATGTATAAAGGTTTTCTAATGAAATATTTCATATTACAATTTGTAGCATTTTTTTCTTTGAAAAAGAAAGCATTAAAAATAAACTATGTCACACTGTCGATGATCGAACTACAAAACTTGAAATTAAATGCAACAGGCTTACAATTAAATGCAATGGATTTAAATGTAAAACTTGCAGGGGACATACCTACTGTATCAAAAGTGCATACACGAAGGAATACGATATAATTCTGTTCTTCCCTATTTAAAGGTCAACAGGTGAGACGAACGTGACCTAATCGATCAAATCCAGATAATGGCAAGTTGTCCTCCATTCCATTCTAGCTTGGACGTCACCGTAGAGATATTAGGTTCTTTATTCAAATGAGAATCAACTATCTCCTCACGGAGATTTGTTCCTGGATCTTCCAGTTTGCTATTTGGACTGCTATCAGTTACACGACGACAGCATGCACAGGAGAAGAGATAATTGCTTATAAATTTATCTAAATTAATTTCCTGCATTACATTCAATTGAATGTCTCTATACTTCTTTTTGAATACGCGTATATCTTTATCATTAGTTGATTTAAAGCACATTCTTCGAGAAACAAAACTTGTCTTAATTACTTGAAAATAATATCCACTGTTGAACTTTCCTGATCTACTTTAAGTTTGAGTTTTTTGAAAATTTTGTCTGAGAATTCATATAACCTAAACTCTGCCTTCCGCAGTTTAATATGTGATCTCAGTGAAATCGTATAGAAACTAAAAATATACAGCAAAACTATATCGTCAGAATTGCAATGCCTTAAAGAAAACACACAACAAGCTTGAAATTTGTATGAAAGATAAAATATGATGTTATGTGACACTGATCAAAATTTTTTTTCCTTGAGCACATTACACGCAAGATTATTGATGTGTTGAAACAATGTAAAAAGTTAGAATAAAATGCCTATTTTTCATTTGGAAATAACGTTTACTTGTTTTTGTTGTGTTGGAGGTCGTATAATGTCTCGTGTAAAAAGAACGAGAGACATATCAGCAGGTCTTAGAATTCGATCCCTGGAGCATCGTAATCTATTAAGACTGAGGATTTTGATACCACTCAATTGCTCATCAGATGGATCGAGATTCAGTGTCGCTTATAGGTATTTACACATCGACGGGTTTTAGAGGGATGCATAAAACTACACGAGGGTTCTCAATAGTGCTGTTTACTAATGCCGGAGATGATACACATCTTGTACGCATCGTAGGATCGATCGGACACATAAAGTATCCTGGATCTGAAAATTAGATATGTTGTACAGCACCATATACCCTCACCTACGACACGACAATGTTTGCAACACTATGGATTGTCAGTAGCAACCATTGCTTTGGTTTCCCTTGTCATCAGCTCCTACAGTAATGCGTTCAATGAAACAAATGGCTGCATAAATAGCATGAAGTCTTCTTTTCTGAAAAATCCTACTCTTGACTACAGCATCATAATAACCCTAGCCGTAATTGCGGTCAACGAGGAAAATGAACGATGAAAGCTTGTTTTCTTTATCATCATAGCAGTTTAGCACTTGGATTGACGATATAAGGTGTGATACACAAAAACAGCACTGAAATTAAAATTTAATAATTCCATAATTCTAATTGCTCCTATTAGTATAAAAAGCCAATGCTCAGCAATACTATAATAGTAATAATGTATATTTTAGTTTCTTAATATTAAATGTAGTTCACAATAGTTCCATAAATTTAAAAATGTTAAATTTACTTGTTGCAGTGCTGAAACTCAGGCAATAGCGTTGGTCTTATTTCTAACAGTACGAAAAATTGCCGCTTTTTCTTAATTCTAAACAAAGTAGAGTACTCATAATAACAAATTGTTTTAAATGCGTAAACTGAACACAACCTGTGTATTTGATGGTAGACTGCCCTCCAAAAGTTAAGGAACAGCATATTTTTCAAAGCCCACCGTTACAAAAATTTCAGTAACGTTTAAATTAATAGTTCATATATATGACAGAAACGAAGTTCAAGAAAATATATGCAAAACCAATAGTTACCACTTTTATTTTACAAAAATGAATACTTATACAGAAGTTGGAGAAAAAATGCAAAAATTGTAATTTTTGTTCACGAGTTTTAATCTTCTGTTATTATTACAATTTCTTGGACAATATCTAGGAGAGTCTATGAATGTCCAGGAAAGGTCGTTTGCCCGATTCGTTGGAGTGGTGGGTGATCGGATGGATGGAAATGTGGATGTGACAAGTTGATGCAGCTAGATGTCTTAGTGTCTCAGTGTCTCTCGTACTACAATCCACCGATTATGGAATCAGCTTGAATCCCAGGATTCTGTATCTGGAAGACATATTCTAGGCAGGCCTACAGTTATAACACCTGCGGAAGACCGTTATTTAGCTCTTTCAGCCCGAAGGAGGAGTAGCACTGTGCCTCAGCTCATGGGAGATTATTTAGTGGCAACTTGACCAAGAATTTTTAGCTACTACAGTGCGCAGACGCCTGCACAATACAGTTCTGTATGCAAGACGACCAGCTGTTTGTGTCGCCTTTACCCTAGAACACAGATGTGCCTGTTTATGTTGGGCAAAAGAATACATCTCCTGGATCAGTCAACAATAATCGTCTGTTCTCTTCACAGACGAGTCCAGGTTCACATTGGTGAGTCATTAAGGTCGTCAGTTGATCTTCAGGGAACAACGCAACAGATGAAACCAGTCCCACATTGTGGAAAGACACTGTTAAAGAGTTGGTGGAATAATGGTTTGGGCTGAGATCGCTCTCGGTAGTCACACTGATCTGCATGTGTTCCATGGAGGAACTTTGACCGGTGTGAGATATCGGGACGAAATCCTTGATCAATATGTCCACCCATATTCTGTTGCTATTGATCCTGGATTTTTTCTGATGGACAAGAATGAGTGACCGCACCGACTTCAGGTTGCTGAAGAATATCTTGAGGGTCATGGTTTGAAGAGGATGGGATGGCCAGCTCAATCCTCAGACCTGAATTCGATAAAACATCTCTGGGACTACCTTGGGAGATATGTTGATGATTTGAGTCCTCCTCCAAGGTTGCTAGATGAGCTTGAACAAGAATTACTCCGTTTCTGATCGTTGCTTCCCATTTCACTGACTGACAACTTAAAAGCATGGAACGTCGATGCCGCCCTAATATATTGCATCTAGGGGATGGACACATTCCTTATTAGAACCATTTTTGCAATGTTACTACCCCATTTTTCCTCAAAAAACTGTGATATACTGTTTCTCCAAGACTGAATTTCAGTGCAAAGAGTGCAATGTTTTGTTGCAATTCCTGTTTCTGTTGAACTTTAGAAACATTCTATGTCGCATTCGTTAAAGAACTCTTTAGTGAACATGTCCTGTGAAGTTCTTGTTTCTATTTTGCTTCATTCTCAAATTAGACACGAAACACATATTGTTCCTTAACTTTTGGAGGGTAGTGTATTTAGAAAACATTGTAAAGGCAACAAGTACAGTTTTTTTACTTAAGAACGTAGTATAGTATATTTCTTCTACTATGACTTAAAATTCAAGATACATTTACTTTTTGACTTATTTTAGAAGCTCATTTGTATTCCTCAATTAAAAATCTTCCACCTTAAGAGGATCACCATAAAATACTAGTCATATGATTGACCTTCTCCTGAAGCTTTTTTCCGTACGTGCTTTTCTGACGTAAGTTATTAGAATTTCGAGCTTGCAGATCGAAGATCCACAGCTCAAAAAAATTTAATAATAAAATTATAATAATTATATTACATTTTTCATTCGTTTTAATCAATAAATTTAAAATAAAGAAATTTCAATTAAAATACCCAGCATAAATTGTACCATCATACATCAAAGAAAAGTAAAAATTAAGATGAGATTTATCAATGCAATATGCAAATGCATATTGCATTGATAAATCTCTGCATACGATGATTATGCATTTATCAATCATCGTATGAAATGATTGATAAATCCTTGCATACGATGCATATTGCATCGTATGCAAACTTTCATCTGCATGCGAAGATAATAAGAGACTGAAAATGAACATTTAAAAGTTATTAAATT